ATGTGCTCCCATTGGGACGCTTGTCTCCTTTGTCTTGATTCTAAGATTTATTTAATTTCCATGAGCAATTTGGATGGTACTGAAACCATCTTGTGATCATTTTTATGCAAATGGTTTTGTTTCCATGAAAAATTGTCACGGAAATGATTTCGTTTCCATGACAAATTTTCACGGAAATGATTTCGTTTCCATGAAAAATTTTCATGGAAATAAGCCACATGGAAATCAGCCACACGGAAATCAGCCACATGGAAATATTTCCTGTTCCATTTTTCCGTGTCATTTTTTCATGGAAATCAACTTCATGGAAATCATCCACACGGAACATTTTTAGCAGGGACCGACGACCGGGAACCTCCCGTCCGAATTTCATCGGAGTAATCGTCAGAATAATGGACCACTAGACAAGGTACGAATTTCAGCATTCTGATACGTGTTTCCTAACCAAAATTTCATGTAGAACACGATACGCACAACGAAAATTACCGAAATGAACTCCTTCTAAAGACATTTTATGATTCTTGGAGCGTGAATTCAAACCACCCGCTCATGAAAACTCAATGGTCTACGTGATTCACATCGTGCGCTAAACGTTATCATGAACGTCTCTGCGATAAAAAAAAATCTGGCAACCTCAATCTTGACACTTGGCTCAGCTATAGCGAATTACTTATAGTTTGAAAAATACATGGTGGGAAATGAACATTGCTCGATTGAGAAGCTTGCTGAAACCGTTGTAGTGCGCGATTTGACTCACGTAGAGCTTTGAGTTTCTTGTCAGCGGGCAGTTCAAATTCCTCGTAACCAATGTGAAATAAAAATGTTAACATCTCCGTTAGGAGTTGGTTTCAGTAATTTTCGTTGCGCGCATCGTGTTTTACGTGAAATTCTAGTTAAGATACATGTATTAGAATGCTTAAATACGTACCTTGTCTAGTGGTCCATTTCAGCGGGCTGATTGTTGAAATTGATGGACAAGGAAGACATAAGGGGTATAGAGCAATCCGAGAACCTTTCCGTCCGAATTTCAAAGAAGCATTCGTCAGATTTTCAGCGAGCTGATCGTTGAAATCAGTGTTCGAAACTCATCTTTGAGTTTCAGGAGCCAGGTGGCTCATCAAGCTCGATTTTTAAGAGCCAAACTGACTTTATGCTTATGTA